TCTCAAACATCTATCTGTCATTCAATGTGATCAACTTTTATGTATCGAAAATTTAACTCTTACAGCAGGGTCGTCATTAAATCTTACCAAATTGTGCGTTGGAGTTTGCTGCGTTGACGATTGTTTTGCACTACTTGATGGTCGTCTCAAACAACTGAACACATTTATTGTTGATATTTGCGATATGGATGATGAATTATCAAGTGTTTACGATATGGTAGGTTCATGTATTATTACTAGATATTTTTCTCAGTTGAAATTGTTTGAGTTATCTAATTAATAGTCGATTGTGTTTTGTGTGTGAAAAGTTTCAAAACCATTTAGTCATTTAAACTTTTCTCTCTTATCGATAATAATACGTTTGTTCACTTTAGGATGATCTACCTAATATGAAATGTTTCTCATTAACATGTCGATGCGAGACTAATCAATATGATACTCAAGTTTTGCCTCTTCTTCATCGTATGATAAAACTCGAAGAATTAACTTTAAACGTTATTAATTACGAACGAACTACATTAATCGATGGTACTCAAATTAATAATAACATTCTTGTACATATGCCATGTCTTCGTAAATTTACTTTTTATATTAGTACTGAAGTTGAACTACATCATATAACTCATCATTTATCAAACGAAGATATTCAACGAACTTTTACTAACATAGGATATCAACAAGTATCCTGTATATTAAACTACATGGTTGATAATATCATGTGTCATATATTTTCATTACCATTCGCGTTTGATTGTCTCGAATATATTGGTAATGCATTTCCACCAGTACACTTCAGTTGTGTTAGAGAATTAACAGTACACGATGAAACTCCGTTCGAACATGAATTTTTTATTCGAATTGCACGTTTTTTCCCATTGCTCAAAAAGTTAAGTGTTGTTAATTTTAAACCACAGTCACAAATGAAACATCATTTGATCTGTCACAATAATGAATTGTGTACAACTGTTGTATATCCACATCTTATTTCACTATGTCTAGAATATACTTATATTCATTATACCGAACAATTTCTCAATCAGAATAAAACACATCTACCACAGCTAACCACATTAAGTGTCGACTATAGTAAATTAAGATTCGTAACACAAAACTTTACAAGAAATGCAACGCGTCGTAATTGTGCTCGATTACAACAAATAGACTTTAAAAAAATAATTGTGCATACAAAAGAGTTTTATGATTATTTTCCTCTCTTGTAATTTTATTTTTTGTTATAAATATACTAATAAAATAATTACTAAACGGATTTCAATAGTCATTAGCTTTATAGTCGGATAACAGTAAACAATAACTGTTAGAAATCTTTGAGATTTTTTCTAATCTATCATTGATAAACAACTTGTTATAATTAGACTTCAATTCAGTAAAAGAGGAGCGATAAAACTATTATTGAATTGAAACTCTCTCTTGTTCTCTTTCTCGTAGAGAAGAGTCCAGTAAACATAAATTGTTTGTTTGCTTGTCTGTCCGCAGGGTCAAAAAAACATTTAGATTTAATTTTTCAGATACTTCGGAAAACTTTGACTGGGGGGGGGGGGGGTAATCGAGAGCGGGGAACTTGAATCTTAGGTTAGTTTATTAAAATTAACTAGTTAATAATTAGTTAATAATCAGTTAATAACTAGTATTATTATATGTTCGAGTAAAGTTTCACCGAAGGGTATCGAGTGTGGAGAATCCAAATGTGAGGTTAATTTTAGTTAAAAATCAATTAATAATTAGTTAATAATTAATATTATTAATTTTTGGAATATTTTCAAAAAAGTTGGACCAAAGGGTTTTCGAGTATGGAGAACTCGAATCTGAGGTTAGTTTATTAAAATTAATTAGTTAATAATCAGTTAATAATTGATATTATTAATTTCTGGAAAAGTTTGACCGAAGGGTAATTGAGTGCCAATAGTTCGAATGTGAGGTTAATTTTAGTTAAAAATCAATTAATAATTAATTAATATTATTAATCTTAAAGATAGCTTCAAGAAAGTTTTACTAGAGGGTAATTCGAGAATCGATTTTTTAGAAAAGACATGTTTGGGACATTTCGATGCGGAGACTTCGAATCTGATTTTAGTTTTATAAAATAATCTTATGAATCACTTTTTTAGGGAGAGAACCAATTTTTAAAAAAAAAATTTTCATAAGGAGTGACCGAAGGGTAAGCGGGGTGGAAGAACACAAATCTGGTGTTAACTTTTCCAAACTGTATAAGCAAAAAGTTTAGTATTGTAGAATACGATTTCTACGAGAAAGAGCTGAGCGAGTCCGCAGACGAGCGTTACTTGTTCATTTTATGTGAGATGCATATCATCTTGCCAATGGAAATACGCCCTTGAAATAGTTATGTTTAAAAGAAATACGATTTTATTTAATACAAATTTGTACTGAAAGGATGTGAACATGAGTAGAGAAAATAAGTTTTCAGTTAGATTATCTTATTGTACATATCTGCTTTTTCTCTTAAAATCCATGGTATTTATATTGCATCCTATTTAATTCTTTTATTTTACTTAAAATATATATTACAAATTATGTAAAATTATATTTTTAATAGTTTCGAAGAATTTTCTAAATAATGTTTAATACCATATTTTTCTCTTAATTGTCTCAATAGTGAATGATTAAAAGGACAACTAAAATTTTTACCATTATCAATATAACCTCCATTTTTCCATTGATTATGTTCATGTACAAAATCTTCTACCCACAAATCTAAACATTTAAATATTTTATGGGGTGATCTTGTTGTTACTGAAGTACAAAATTCTTTATCT